GGAACACTCCCCAACTTCTCATGTCAATTTGAGGAAAGCGATGGATTGCCCTCCCCATATTTGCCTGGCAGGCTTGTATTCAAAAGACCCACAAAGAGCAACTGGATGTGCAAAAGGTGGAATCACTAAATGCAGCCAGCAAGCTCTCCCAGAGGCCCCCCCGCCTATTTTTTGATTTGGTCACCCAACAAAAAGCCGAGTCCTCGCAGCGAGAACGAGCACCTGCCACTGGCCTTTCGCTATGAGGGCGGCTGGGAAGCCCGGGTTTTGCGGGGACGTGGGGCGTCAAAACGTGGGCCCCCCAAAACAGGTGCGGTCCCTTTAGTTCTCCTTTGCAACAAAGAGATATCCTCAAAGGACACAAGGCTATGAGCTCAGGGAGAAGGTTTTTTTGGGTTGGACCACCCATCCGGGACCCGCCAGGTTGATCTAATTCTGAGCGCCGAAACGTCCAGGATTCATGTCATCGTTGTTTGTTCCACACAGGACCTTTGATTCACACTCGGCCGATCAACACCAGACCTCTCAGCATCATTGAGTTGCGTCTTTCGGCACCCCAAGGCCGGTCCTCTCGGCTGCCATCGCCGCTCAGGCCGGCGGAAGAAAAATTGCCATCAGCCGGGAGCGCCTAACAGGCACCTTGACTTTCTTGCTCGGGCTAAGCCTTCGAGTCACTGTGGCCAGGGTAGCTCCCTACATGGCTCTCTTCCAGCAAGGCCGGTCCGGGCCCGGTGCACGTTTGATGGGGAGTTGCCCGTTTGGGGGGTTCCTTCATGTCATGCTCTTGGTTGTATGAGGATGTACGGCCTGGCATCCTTGTCAGAATTTGGAATTGCAGCCAGCAGGGCTTCGGACGAGACGAGTGTTTGAACAAGCGCATTCCTTGGCAAACCAGTTCCAATGGGCTTGAGCTTTGTCGTGTTTGGCTGGAAGGGTTTCACGTGTTCAGCACTCCGAGGTCGCTACTCGCGGCAGCTTATGGCTAGCGAGGTGGCCTAAAGTTGTACCTCGAAAATGGCGGCGCGTAGCGCGACGCGAATTGCCTCGGGGTTCATGATGCTTCCCAAGAGCAGCTGCCATGACTTCGCTGGGACCATCATTGGAAGGAGGGCAATTGGCCATTACAAACCGCAAGAGACCATCAAAGGGATGCGGCCTTCGTCAGAAGGCTGCATGGCTTTGTTTTTAAGGCGTCTGCGTGTCACTTGCTTTGCTTTGCTCTGCCTTGCTCCGCTTTGCTTTGCTTTCCTTGCTTGTTTGCCTACCCACATATACATACACACACAGCACACCAAGTCGTTTGTGCAAGCATTGGCGCATGCTGGCAATGAGACTTTGGTGGGGCGCACTCGAACTCTGCCCTGTGGCTCGCAGCTTGCCGGAGAACCCCATGCGTGTTGGCCTTTTGGGGTTTGCGTCGTGCGCCCGGGCGCAACTCAAAGTGCCCTTCCCGCGGATTCGCGCCATGGCCTCGATCAAGTCCGGGACCCGCAGCCAGGTGCGTTTTTTTTTTTTGGGGGGGGCTGCGCCGGTTGCTTCGGGCAGCTCATTTTTGTGTGAAAGAAACCAAAAGCAAGAGGCAGACAAGCATTAAATTGGAGCCCTTCATTTATATATTCCAATTTGCTGGCCTGAAGATTGGGCGGCCTGCTGTGGGAAGACATTCCCCTCCCCAGGAAGGGTCTCAGAATGCGTCTAGAACTCATGAGAACAAGTCGCGAACCTTTCTGGGAGGAGAGCCTTTGCTTTGGGACGTGACATCGTCGTGCATATTCGGCCTTGGACGTTTTGGCCCAAGGGCTCGAGAACGAGCTGGGGTTCCCTCTTTCTCTTCTCCGGAAGATGGGCGCATGCTCCTCGAAGATGGGCGCGTGCTCCTCTGGCTACTTCAGCTCGGTGACTTCTGGGAACCCCTGCCCCGTCCACGCTTGCAAGTTCCCGATGCAGGTTGTGAGCGTGGCCGATTTTCTGCAGAGCTCTGGACCGCCTGAGCCTTATAGCACGTGGCACACTCGTGGCCTCTTGCATAAGGTCCACCCAGACATGTTTGTCATCTTTGTGTCGCACCAGTGGCTGAGCTACACTCATCCTGATCCTGAAGGGACGCAGCTTGCAGTGTTGCAGCATGTCCTTGGCGGTTTGTGCGAGGGGTCATTTGTGGTGGAAGACAATATTCTCACTCATATTTACGGACTTCCAGAGCACAACATCGATGCCTTGCGAACGAAGATTGCCAATGGCTTTCTCTTTGTTGACTGGATGTGCATTCCTCAAATAACGTCCAGGAAGCAAGGTCTGAATGAGATAAACTCAGACTCTATCACCGCCGACGCAGTTGAGTCCATTCCTCACTATGTGGAGGTGTCCAACCTTTTTGTGGCGTTGGTTCCAGAGCTGACTCACGCAGACACCAGAGAGCTTTGCAACTACAAGTCCTGGCTGACTCGTGGTTGGTGTCGCGGAGAGATGGGCTGCCACCTGCTATCCAACAAGCAGAACACCAGCGTCATCGTGATCCACTCGACGATGAAGGCCGAGTGCATGTCGCATGTGGACTGGCAGTTCAACAGCATAGCGGACTGCGGCTTCTCTGTCGAGAGGCAGGGATTCAATAATAGTTGTCCTGTTTTTGGTGATTCAAGTATCATTCTTCGGTTATTCTTTTCATAAAAGCCTGGCGCTCTTTTGATTCAGGGACCGGGCTGCGGTGGTGCAGCTGGAGAAGACGGCCATGGCCGCTAAGGTTAAGCATTTAGAAGTGGTAGGGCCATTGCACATGTACCGGTACTACATGGCAACTTTTATGGAGGAGCCAGATTCCGACGTGTCAGTGTTCCTGGAGCGGTTCCGCTTTGCGAGCCTTTCCATGGCAGTCACAGAGACCAACCCTATGAATGGAGTGATGTGCGCGACGCTTTCCGGCAGTGCCAGGCTTTTGCGCATCCTAGTGGAGAACCAGGCAGAGGTCGATCATCATATTGAGGGCCTAGGAGCTGTCGGTCACTTCGACTCCTCTCCCATGCTTATGCTGGCAGTGTCCTTGAACAAACCTGCGAGCTTGATCACCACGTTGCTGGAGCTCCGTGCAGACGTCAATGCCAAAGATGCCCTTGGCGCTTCTGTGACCACTTATCTCCGATCCAAGGAGCAAGCAGACGCCCTCCTCCAGGCACAGCCAGATCTTGACTGCCCCGGCATGCCGATGGGCATGACCCCTTTCACCATAGCATGCACCACAGCGCCTCCGGAAGCAATCGCTGCGCTGCTGGACGCAAGGTGTGATCCGAACCCACCCGCTGTGGGTGTGGGGTGGAGCCCCTTGCATGCCGCTTGCTTTTGGTCCAGGGGCAGCCGCCATGCCGTGGAGAAGGTGCGACTCTTATTGGATCACAAGGCCGACGTGAACGCAAAGAGCGGGCCTTGGGACGTCCAGAGTGGTGTAGGTGTCGCATCCCAGCTGCGCGCGGCTCTTTTTGGCTTGGAGTCTTGCGATGCCAGGACCAGGTTCTTCGAGTCGCTGTCGGGCATTACGCCCTTGGGCATGGCTGCTTTGATGGGCGACCATGACATGGCGGTCTTTCTATGGGCAAACGGTGCTGGACTTCTCGCGAATGATTATGGCTACATGCCAGAAGATCTGGCAAGGATGAATAGTCATTGGGGCGTCTTCAAGATGCTGTCTGTGTGTAGCGCCTAAACCAGCTCAGGGCTGCACCAACTTTATTATCAATTCTCATGTCATGAAAGACAGATTTCTATCATTAGCTGCTGGTCGATAGTGCTAGCAGTCTTGACGCAAGTCGGCAAAAGTATCTCGAAGAGGATGGGCCGGTTATTGCTTACCTTCAATCCAAGGAATCTCTCTCCTTGTTGGGGCCAGCGGATTTCGGAGGGATTGCTTCCTTCGGCTCTGCCAAGTTTTATCCTGCCTGGTGTCTGCAGTCCCACTGTTGGACGACTTCCTGCGCGGTGTTCAAAAAAAGGATCTCCCATTTTTGCTGGGCGCCTTGCAAGAAAACATGGTTCGGAGGTTCAGGCCGTTTAGAGCAGTCAGTCTTGTTGCCCCGAAAAGCCGAAAGCCCGGGTTCAAGCGAAGGGTTCAAGCGGCCGGAGGAGGAGCTAGAGAAGTTCAATTGCACGGAGTGCAAGGCAGGGTGTTCCGCCACACGGGTGGCAATTGGCGCGCCAAAGGCAACCTAGGCCCTCCACCAAATCGCAGTGCTCCGCCCTTCAACCGGTTTTGTGGGGCGGCGGCTTGGCGCTTTGCTGGAAAAAGCAGTTTCGAGCCATTGCCAAAGGGCCAGATGAGATTCGCCATTGTCACGAACCGCTTTGAAATCCGGCCCCCCGTGCAGCTCCACCAAGGAGTTGCCTGCCACTGTTGGGGTTGGTTGTAGCCACATGGGCCCGCTGTTCTCGGGAACCCCAACGGAGATCCCTTAAGCAAAAGGTGTAGCGCGCTGCAGACATATTCAGCAACTCATCGTTGCTTGGTTGCCATGTTTACGCCAGTGCAGTATGCCCTGATCCAGCATGGTTTGTTTGCATTTCATTTTGAGTTGTGTTCGCAAACGGGCCCACTTCGGAACATGCGGAATTTCCGGCGCCTCTGATTGTCGAATTTTCACTCCAAAGGGTGTGCAAAAAGAAACGTCTCAAGTATCCAGGAGATCCCGAAGGCTCCAGAGGTGACGGGCTGGGAGGCTGGGCTGTCGCAGTGTGGATTGTCTGATTTTGGGACCCGCTCGGGATGGTCGCAACTATTGTATGTTGGTGCTGTCGTTTTTTCCCCAAACAGCTTCTGTGGGGGTACTCTGATCTAAAAGAGTTTTTGTCGGGACCTCCGGGCCTTGCCAAACGAATGTCTGTGTTTTTGTGGGTGTCCTTTCTCTGGATGGGAAGGACATCGCCTTGGGAGTTCGACTATTGTGAGACGCACCCACTTTCAAAGGAACAATAACAATCCCGTCTGCAAGGAGGTTTGGTTGTGGGTCTCCATCCAACGAGCAAGCGATGTAAAGCTCATTGCTCCTGTGTGCTGTCTTACTGAGACCATGGTCCAATAGGTAGAACATGTATAAAGTTGAACTTCCTTGCTTCTCGAAAGCGAAGGCGTCTTTCCCAAAAAAGCGCAGCGCCTCTTGCTGGCAGTCGTTTGCAGGGCATTTTTACTGAGGTGCAGATATTTGTCAGATGTGTACAATGGCTGCGGCCGGGTTGCCGGTCCCAGGCTCCATCCGATTCCCCATGCGAACCCACTGGCCTTGAGGCCACCTGCCAGATCGGCCGGACCCTGGCCTCTGTCTTCGGGTGCGGCCGTGAGACCCCCATCGCCGGGGCGCTCGGATTTCGGAGTTCGGGGGTGGACGGCGGACGGCTCGGTTTTTATCGGGGAAGGATGGGAAGGCGCAGTTTCGACGGCTTCGAGAGTTTCAATCCATGGGCTCAATCGAAAAAGGGTGCTTATTGGCCACTTGGGCGAGGCGAGGACACTAGGAAGGTTTGTTGATGTAAAGCAAAGGGATCCTGCAACATCCTAAGCGAGGGGTTTGGCCTCTTTTGCGGATGCATTGTATGCTAAAGACGTCTGCATGAGCCAAAAGTGTTTCTGTATCGTGCACTATTGTCCCCCTAACTACCATCGCTGGTTGATGTGTGACGAGCGTACCCCTTATCATTCCCTATTCAGCAGTTGGTGACATTGAAAACCACACAGCGGAATTACCCAGGGTCCAACACACGATTTTTGAATGGGTAGCTCCGTGGGATACAACATCGCCCGCAGGTGGCCACGACTAGCTTCCACGATCTCTCCGCCCGTGTGCTCTCGGAGGATATGGTGAAGTTCGACATGTTCAAGGACAAGGCGAGAGGGCTACCGCTTATGTAGTCTAGCAAGGTGGGATGCAGCACACCTCTCAACATAGCATTTGTTTTCGCAGAAGAGCGGCGCTTCAGATTTCATGTGGCTGCAGGGTGTTCCGATTCAAAGATGCAGAGAAGCGTTGCGCTTGCCCCCGAAAACCTGAGCTCATCAGGTGCTTCTGGTGGCGAACGTGGCAACCAAATGAGGCATCGCTGGAGGGCCTTGGCTTTTCCGTGGCCGGTCGTTTTTTTACCCTCTCTTCTTTTTTATTCTTCTTTCTTTCTTGCTTTGTTTTTTCTTTCCGCTTCGGAGGCCTAACGAAGCAAAACTACGCTGAGTTGGATGAGCTGTGCAGCGAGCTGAAAGAGGAGCCCTTCGAGCTGCCGCTGGGCCGCAGGCGGCGGGGGGAGGCCTTCGGCGCTTTGCCTTCGGCCGAGGCTGGCCTTCCCTTGCAATCAGTTTGGAAAGCAGGAGGAGGCGGGGCAATAGCCTGTGTCCCAGCAAGGGAGCGGCTTTGCAAATCGACTTGAGAGATGTCAGTTGATCGGATTTTCGTGTTTCGCGCCCAGAGACACCAACCTTCAGGGGAACGGAAATGGTCATGCCACGTACCAGGGAAAGCCGGAAGATATCGGCAACTTCATCACAGGCGAGGGCGTTGGTCTGAGAAGAAGGAACTCGAGGTTCATGTAGATCTCGAATGCAGGTCTGAGACCAGCAGTCAATTTGGGCGCGATGGTCTACCATTTCCTACGAACGAGTCTGCTCAATGCAAGTTGGACAAGCAGGATGGGTTGTTTCAGTTTCCAAGTATAAGAGACGTACCTGGGTTTGTCTTCAAACTCATGCTTTCTTTCTGTTGTCCTTTCCAGATATCCCCGTTTGCAGGCAAACTCCCAAAGGCGAACTTCACCATCTTCCAGAAGAGTCACGTGAACGGCAAGGCCACGCATCCTGCGTGGCACTTCTGCCGGTGCGCGACGTTCCCCAAATGGGAGCACTTCTAATCGAGAAAGCCTTTGGCAGTCAGAGCGATTCTTGGGAAATGCAGGTACAATGCGGAGGAGACCCGAAGGGGTAAGTATATGCTGCCCATCCCGTGGAATTTCGCCGGAGCCTTGGTTAGGGCCATGGACTTGATTCCAAGGGCAAAAAAGAGACTCCACTAGGGGGTTCGAGACCAGCGGAGACCGACAGATGTCTCTGTCCTGGGCGAGTCCACTCCACAATGCGCAAAGAAACAGTTTAATGCGGGTCCACACAAATCTGCAAGTGTCATCTACCATGTGGCCAAAGGTTGGCCAAAGGGATTTTTCTTGGCCGCACTCACGTCTTGCAATGCAACGCTTCACGTCGGATTGAGGCGAAGTTCCTCCTGGACAAGGAGGGCCGAGTCTACAAGTACTACAGTCCCAAGTCCTGGCCTTGGTCGAAAGGCCAGTCGACCAATTGAAGGATTGACATGTGAGGTTCGGTTGGGTCAAAATATCAGTCTATGATAAATTTGGGAGAGGCATGAGGACCAACGAAATGTCCAGCGCCAAATTTCGGGTACTCACTAGTACTAATTTGCCCGTGTTCATCACGGGAACTGCAGATTTGATGGCTTGTGTGGTAAGCGTCAATAGGTACCCCTTTCGGGCTGGTTTCCAAAGAAGACCGTCATGTACTGAGGGTGCCTCCGTCGCAGATCAAGGAGGACATCAAGGGGCTGCTGGCAGGGACATTGCAGGAGCGAGCGGGCCCCGTACTTGCAACGGTGCAGGGGTAGCGACTCTTTGTGGCTTGTGCTATGAAGGGCGGCGCTGTGAGCATCTTTCCGGAGAACTGAACACCATGCGTTGTTTAGGACTCCTCAGCCATGCCTTCGCTTGCATGTCAGTGAGCAGTCATTCATACTTGTTTCTACAGGGGAGAGCCAAAAAGGAATCTGGCCCACAATACGGCAACCCAATTTATTTGGTCTTGTTCTGACTTGCAGGCGAAAAAATATCACAACCAGACACCGGATGCCCCCCCAAAAATGGCATTGTGGGTGGCAGTTTGTCAGTATACAGGACTCTTTATGCATGCGCCCAGGTCACCAGGGCCCAACTGTAACATAAAAAGAGGACATACGGCTCGTGGGAGCCTTCATCATGTGACTTCCTTACTCCTTATCATGTCCGCAAGTGATATTGTTGTTGCTAGATTCGGTATTTGATAAGGGGAGCTATTGAATATTCTTTAGGTAAGGACAAATTCTCCTTTGAAAGCGGGAGCCCCGAATTCTGCCGCGAATTCTGCCGCGAGTCGGCGCCTTCGGCGCCTTCGGCGCATTCGTCTCCGATTCCCCGGAGGCGAAGCCTTCGCAGCCGCCCACTGTCAAGCCGGAGGATCCCCGCGCCTCTGGTGGTGCCTTTCACTCCCCCAGTTGCAACTCCTTTCGGAGCCCTGAAATGGAGCCACCATTGCCCTCCCACCAAATATGGAAGTGCACAAACCCCATTTCCAAGAGGCAAGTGGTCTTTCTGCAGGAGTAATTCTGAGCTATCCATTTGTCAGACCTTGATTGCTTTGCAGGTGGGCAAGGACTTTGGGCTTGGAGCATGAGGCAGAGTCTAATGAGCATCAGATTTCAGGAGCCCAGCGGATCCCAGTAGCTGTAGAAACCAACCATTTCCCTTTTTTTTTAACGGTTCTCTTACAGAGCTACTGTTTACGGCTCAATAAACCGGTTCCCATCCCAGAGTCATGAATCCCCTACTTTCAGGGATCGCAAGTGCCGCAGGATGCGCCTGCCGGGTTCTGCAGGCGGTTGGCAAAACGGGGAGTTGGGACACGACAACGGCTTGGAACGCTTCCGCTTGGCGGACGGGGGAAAGGTGGAAAGTGACCAACATACTTCATGGTGTATGTTTGCATATTTTTATGCCATTCGCCCAAGGTTGCTTGGTGCAAGGACAGGCATAAGCTCCCTCAGGCGTCGAAGGTTTGTTGCCCGAGTCCTCAGTCCCAGCTCTCGAAGCTGCGAGGTAGATGGCTGTGCTGTGATTGGCAGCACGTGTGCCGGGTTTGAGCCCAGACTTTACAGCACTCCGAAGGAGTGACCCGATTTTCTAGCGCGGACTAGTGCCCAGCGGCAGAGGATTCGTCAGCATGCGAATGACTTCGCAGTGGCAAGCTGGCAACTTCGGACCTTGAGAAACAAATCAGGAGCAGAGACAAGTTCGAAGTTGCCCTTTCCCATCTCCGCGAAGTGAAATGCTTCGCTGACTAAATCCAGCTTAGTCATAGGTGCTACACTTACTTCAGCCATGCGTCAGGACCGAGATCGGAGCGTTTGGTCCTTTCTCAGTGATTCGCGGTCCCTCTCGTGCAGCACGCAGTGTGCAGCTGCCGAAAACAGCGGGCACGGCGACAGTGTCTGCGCAGTTCAGAGAGTGGTTGCGCTGAAGGAAGCAAGAGCATTGTTCCCTCCGAAAATCCAACCCCCCTTGAATGTTTTCGGACGAGGAAATGAACAATGTGCATTGACAGGCGTGAGCCTTGATGATCACATGCAACGTGGATTTCTGGCTTCAAGCAACAGCAAACGAGAAACAAACACTGAGCCGCTTGCATTAGCGTTGGGGTTTGGAATTGAGTGTTTTCAAGGGCGTTGAAATTGGGTGCGGAGTAGTTTTGCGTGGATGTTGTGGGCCGTTGGGATTTGCGTTCCGTGGCCGTGGGCCGTTGGGATTCTGCTGCTACCGGGCCATGTCTCATCCGGCACACTTGGCGGTCTCGTTCGTAAATTCAAAAAGTTCGTCCGGGGTCGCGTCCGAAAGCCCCCTGCAAGTTCTCAACCCAAGCTTCTCAACACTCTTTTGCTTGCACTTGCTTGAACTTGCACTTGGTCCCTTTCCAACACTACAAACATTTTGATTGTTGCTGGGGCTTGAATTCCACGGAGGTAAGGACCATGAGGGCTTCCAGTCCACGCGAGTTGGCTCCTTTCCAACTTGGCAAACATCTTTTTATCTTTACCTGGGATTTGCGTTCTATGCATCTTTTACACTTTTGCAGGAATCTGGTGCTAAGTTTGTTGTTGCATACTGCGCTTTATGGGGCTTGCTTGTTTTCCGAGACTGAGAATTATGCATTTCTCTGTATTCTTGATAATATATTATAACTATTTGAATATTACGATTTGAACATTATTATTTTACGAGGAATTGGAAAATATATATTTTTTTTATTTTATTTAAAATATTTATATAATTATAATAATATAATATAATTATTTGAAGAATTTTATTAATAAGATGGTATTTTAGTCGACTTATAATGTTTGTAATGAATTATATTTGTGTTGTTTTTTGTTTTGTTTTTGCCGTGGCATAAGCTTTGGAAGGCTCCGAAATGTTGCATAATGTTTTGGGGGGATGGTTTTAATAATTTTGTATAGAATTTTTATGGTATAAGTTGGTTAATTTTTTTGGATAATTTAGGAAAATTGAAATTTCTCGAAAATTTTGTTTTGGGTGTTTTTATATGTTTGTTGTTTTTTTGTGTTTCTTAGTTTGTTTTTGTGTGTTTTTTTTTTTTAATATATATTTTTGTGTATTTGATTTTTTTTGTGTGATTGCATTATAGAATTGGTTTACTTTTGATTGATTTTATATATTTGTAAAATTGATATATTTTTGTATTATTGAATATATTTTTTTTTTGAAATTTTATTTTTTTATTATTATGGTTTTTGGGAAATGAAATGATGTTATTTGTTTTTACCTTATGCCATTTCTTCTAATTATGAAATAAAAGATTTTAATGAAAACATCCTAACATAGAGATGGTTTTTCCTTTCCAGCGTTACTGGGAACTAAGAGATGAAAAGAGATGAGATATATTGCGGAGAAAGGAATCTCTTAGATCGCGGGAGAAGAATTTCTTTCTTTCTTTTTTTTTCCCTTTTTCTTTTTTTGTTGTTTTCTTTTTTAAATATGTTTTTCTTTTTTTCTTTCTTCTCTCTCGTTTTCTCTCTCTTTTTTTTGAGAAAGAGATAGAAAACAAATATCTCTCTCTCTTTTTCTCTCTTTTTTTTCCTTTTTTTTTTTTGTTGATGTTATTTTATCGTCTACAGGATGAGGAATAACTTGTTTAGATCTTATTGGGATATTGGGGGAGCCATTGTTTCCATTTCGGGTATCTCCGCTAGTAGTAACTCCTCCTGTTATGTTTTTTTTTTTTTTTTTAAATTATATTTTTTAATATGTGTTTTTCCTTTTGTTTTCTTTATTTTTTCTCTTTCCTTGTATTTTTTCTCTCTCTTTCTTAGTGTTTTCTTTTTGATTTTTTTGTTGGTATTATCGTTGATGGAATTAATGGGTTTTCTTTAATATTTAATATTTAATATAATTAATATATATTTATATATTTTTTGAATTTGATACTTTAATAGAATTGGTTTTATATAACTAATAATTGATTTGGTAGATATTTCGATTTTTTATTATTATTTTTGTATTAATATAAAATATTAAATATTAATGATATTGTAAATATAATTATTATTATTTTATATATATATATTTTTATATTTATTTTTAAATATATTAATATTATTATATTATTATTAGATTAATTAATATACTATTTAAATTATTTATAATATAAAACTATATATTATTAATATTTGTTTTATTTTGTTTTATTATATTTAGATATATTTTTATATTTAAAAAATATAAAGAACTTTATTATGATGATTATAAATTTATGGAGGATGGGATTGCTCGAAACGATTTTATTTTTCATTTGTTTCCCGAAAGCATGGCGAAGGGTTTTTCCGTTGGGTTCATTTGAGTTATTCTTATGTAAGGAATTATCATTATGAAAATCATTGCAAGGAATTATTATAAGGAGTCATTGTAAGGAGCCATTATAAGGAATTATCATCATGAAAGTCATTGCAAGGAGTTATTTTAAGGAGTTATTCCAAGGAATTATTATAAGGAATTATTGTAAGGAGTCATTGCAAGGAGTCATTGCAAGGAGTCATTGTAAGGAGTTATGGCAAGGAATCATGGCAAGGAGTCATGGCAAGGAATCATTGTAAGGAATTATTGTAAGGAGTCATGGTAAGGAATTATTGCAAGGAGTTATTGTAAGGAGTTACTACAAGGAATTATTGCAAGGAGTTATTGCAAGGAGTCATTGTAAGGAATCATTGAAAGGAATCATTGTAAGGAATTATTGCAAGGAGTTATTGTAAGGAATTATGGCAAAGAGTTATTGCAAGGAGTTATTGTAAGGAGGTATTGTAAGGAGGCATTGCAAGGAGTCATTGTAAGGAATTATTACAAGGAGTTATGAGAGTTATTGCAAATTGTAGGAGCTAAATGCATGGAGTTAAGTGCAAGTTGTAAGTGCGCGGAATTAAGTGCAAGTTGCAAGTGCAAGGAGCCAAGTGTAAGGAGCTAAGTGCAAGGAGTGAAGTGCATGGAGTCAAGTGTAAGTTATAAATGCATAGAGTTAAGTACAAATTGCAAGTGTAAAGAGTTAAGTGTAAGTTGCAAGTGCAAGGAGTTAAGTGCAAATTGCAAGTGCGTGGAGTCAAGTGTAAATTGCAAGTGCAAGGAATTAAGTGCAGTTGTAAGTGCAAGGAGTTAGTGCAATTGACTTGCGAGGAATTAAAATTTCTTCTTAGGATGGCGGGATTGGCGTAGTCGAGGTGCAAAAATTCGAGGTTTTTGGCGATTTCCAAAGTTCCCACGCGAATTTTGTACGGGGATTAGCGTGGTCGAGGTGCAAAAACTCGAGGTTTTTTGTGATTTTTGCGGCGCTTGCGCAACCCTCTGCGGGAATCGGCGTGGTCGAGGCGCAAAAACTCGAGGCTTTTTTGCGACTTTTTTTGTTCGAACTGGTCCTCGGAAGTTGTCTTGTTCGCGCGCCTGCTCCCGGGACCGGCGGGTCGCGGATTCGATTCCTCCCTGGTCCGCGGACGGGCGTCGCAAGATGCAATTTGCATAAAGCAACTTACATAGAGCAACTTGCGAAATTGCACAGAGCAAATTGCACAGAGCAATTTGCGCAGACCAACTTGCACCGACCAGTTTGCATAGAGCTCCTTACCTAGAGCAACTTGCGCAGAGCAACTTACGCAGAGCAACTTGCGCAGAGCAACTTGCATAGAGTAGCTTGCATAGAACAACTTGCAGGGAACAACTTGCACGGAGCAATTTGCACAGAGCAACTTGCAGGGAGCCACTTGCAGGGATTAACTTGCATGGAGCAACTTGCGCCGAACAACTTGCATAATGTAACTTACATAGAGCAATTTGCATAGACCAACTTGCACCGACCAGTTTGCGTAGAGCGCCTTGCCTGCTGTCTCGCGCTTGCTGCACGAATGCTTCGTGTAGGGAAAAAGAATGCATCTTGTAGCGTTGGGCCGATTTCGTTTATGATATTACGTTTTCGGGCTAAATATGGTTTAATTTTAATAGGAATATATTATTAAATTGTATGTTGGAACTCGCATTAAATATTTTTTTATATTATGTTTGAATAGAAAAATCTTGTTAGATATTCTAGAATAATTCGCTAAGAATATTCGATTAGAATAGCTGAGGTAGATCTTATCGTTAAAAGGCAATAAAGATTTCTCTTCAATGGTTTCCATAGCGATATTCTGGCAAAATATTCGGCGGGATTTGTTGGTAAGTTAGTCTGGGATATTCGGCGACGGTAGGATTCATTAGCGAGCCGCTCTGGCGTAATGCTCCATAGGATCCATCGACGAAACTCTCTGGCCTAATGGGATATTTGGCGGGATTGACTAACGGGCTGTTCTGGTGGAATATTCGGCGGGATCCTACTAAGCCGTTTGGGCGGGATACTCGGCGGGATTTACTCATGGGAATAGTTCTATCGAGATATTGGACGGGATCTATTAATAAACTACTCTGGGATACTCAGTGGGATATTCGGCGGAATCCACTAACGGGCTATTAGCGGGCCGCTTTGCCGGGATATTCGGCGGGATCCACGATAAGCCGGTCTGGCTAGATATTGGACGGGATCCATTGACGAGTAATTCTGGCAAGAAATTCGGCAGGATCTATTAACGCGTTATTCTGGCATATTCGGCGGCGGTAGGATCCATTCTCTGGCGGGATATTCTATGGTAATTGGCGGGATCCACTGGCGAACTGCTTTGGCGGGATATATTGGATTAGGGCGTGGAGTAGAAGCATCGTAAATGCGAATTCTTTTCTAAAATCTAATAGTTCCTTATATATCGGGAAACATAGAAATATATATACAATTATTTTGTTTCGAACAACCCCCATACTCCATATTCACAAATTTACGATTGATATAACAAATTCCTCCGTATCCTAGAGACTTCAATTCCAAATTCCCTTCGGCCCTTTCTAGCGGGATACTGGCGGGATCCACTAGCGAATGTTAGCGAGCCGCTCCAGCTCGATACTTGCCGGATATTCGGCGAAATCCACCGGTAAGGGATACTCAGTGAGATATTCGGCGGGATCCACTCATAGGAATAATTTTGGCAAGATATTAAACGAAATCTATTGGCAAACTACTCTGGGATATTTAGCGGGATACTCGGCGGGATCCACCGACGTGCCATTGACGGGCCGCTCTACCGGGATATTCGGCAGGATCTATGATAAGCCGCTCTAGGCAGATATTGGACAGGATCCATTTAACTCTAGCAAGATATTCGACAGGATCTATTAACGAGTTACTCTAAGATACTCGGCGGCGGTGGGATCTTAACGAGCCGCTCTAACGGAATATTCCATGGGGATAATTGGCGGAATCCATTAGCGAGTAATGAGTTGCTCTAGCGGGATATTGGACTAGGACATCGAATAAAAATATACGAATTTATATTAACACTTAATAATTTCCCTATCGAAAGAAAAAATAAAAACAAATATAATCCTAATATTCCACACTCACGAACTTATAATTGTTACAACAAATTCCTTCGGGTCTTAAAGACTTTGACTCCAAATTCCAATCGGCCTTTTCTAACGGGAGGCGAATATTAGCGAGCCGCTCCAATTCGATACTAGCCGGATACTCGGCAAAATCCCTCGAGAAAGGATATTTAATTAGATATTCGACAGGATCCATTAATATTACTCTAGGAAATTCAACGGGATACTTAACGGGATCTATTAATAGATTGCTCTAATGGAATATTTAGCTAAATATATTAATAAAATATTCTAATAGAATAAACGGAATCTATTAATAAATTACTCTAGGATATTCAACAAGATATTCGGTGCAATTAGTCCATTTAGAACGTTCCCGACTTTGCATCTGCTCTAATAGTGCAGTGGGCTTGCATAAAGGCGGAGCGCCTGACGCTACGTCGGCCATGAACAATCGCATAAAACACTATCCAGCCCGGAACATCGTATATAATTGTGCGAGCCAATAAATAACCTTGCAAACGATATCGTCGAATAATTCATCCAAATAAGATATTTACATCTAATTTTTCGATTAACAATATTTTTAAGAACCAAAACCTATGTAAAACAAAAAATACCGAAGATTATTATAACAACCCTCCATACAATTTACCTTCTACGGACTTACCTTTCGTTAATTTAGAAAAAAGAAAAAGGAACAAAAATACCTATATCAAAATATTTATATATTATTCCCCATTACCTAAACATAATCAAAAATAATTCCCCATTACTAAATTATTACCTATAAATCATCTATAAATTATATCATACCATAATATCCTTCGTTTCGACAATCAAATTCTACCATTTAAATAATATATATCACCAATAAATTCAATTATCAATAAATCAATTTATATATAATCAAACAAATAAAATTCTTAATGCAAAATTAAATAACTAATTATAATAATAAACCATTTTAAATATAATTTATTTTATCAATTATAAATTATAATATTAAAAAAATAAAATATTTCTTATTAAAAACCTCATTCTTCTATATTTTTTAAATTCAATATCAATAATATTAAAATATATTATTTAATTAATTTAATTTTATAATATCAAAATATTAAAAACAATATTAAAATATTACAATATCAACAATTATTTAATTTTCAAAAATATTTTAATAAAACATATTAAATCAATACCTTAAACGAATTTCAAAATCTATGTTTCAGCAATGCCAAAACGCGACGCCTATCATTTTCTCTGTGCCTAAGTCTGCAAAAGCGCCACGCCTAGCATAAGTTCCAAGGCTTCCGTTCTGTTGCGCCTACCACGAAATCAGCTTGCCGAAGTGCCGCGCCTATCATGCGAGGGTCACTCTTTTTTGCCCTGCCCACACACGCACGCATTTTTTCTCGCACGCATTCACTCTTTCTTCATTTTATCTGTGCGCAAGACTACCTTTCAATTAGTGTCCGCCACACTCAAGTTCCTTCTAACCTTCCTTTGCTTAGTAAAATCATAGTTAATACCAACTTAAAGCCATCCACCTTCGTATGCGAGCATTCATTTTGTTAGAAGCTGAGCACGCGCTGGTTCGGCGGCCGGTTGTCGCCATCCTGCCATCGGATCAATCAGCAAACGTCAACTTCCGAGAAAATTGCGAAGCCTCCATCACCACGTAATCGGCCATCTGAGACTGCACCTGGCAAAAAGAGACAGTGCCAACTGTAGTGCACATTGCTACTGCACTTTTCTGAGAGTTTTTGACTTCCAATTCAGCTCGAGGTTGATGGCTTGGCTGGCGGTTTTACAGACCCCGTTGCCCCTTTCAGCCGCAGAAAGCTGAAAGTCGAGCACTTTTGATCGCTCTCGCCTTTACCTGGACCACTCCATCCGACTGCAAAGAGCGCTCAAATGCTCACGACAAGATTATATATTTTGCTCCCAAAGTCAGAATTCGCTCGTCCCGCCTCCAGCATGACCTCTTCGCGCAGCACGCGACGGACAGAGCTGGTCACGTGCCTCGCGTGACGAACATGGGGGCGATGCAGTTGCCTCAAAGCCTCAACTTAGCGCAGGGCTAGAGGAAAACTTAGAGCCTCCGACCCAAAGGTTCTTAGAACCCGAGAAGATGTTCTTAGAAGGGTTCTGAGAACCATTCTAGAAGGGGATCCCCAACTCCTAAAAAGAAACCCCACTTTTGGTTCCATGCTCATGTTGACACTGGGATAGTAAGTTCGGATGAACAGGGGTGTACGAGTGTGTCTTAGGGGGACCCTTTGGTTTTCCTTTAAAGCGACAAACAAATGGCACCCTGAAGACGAGACCCCTGGTTTCGACGTTTTTGAAATCCACAGTTTTTGGTGTTCAACCAGCTTTACTCAAAGGGCCCATTTCCTCAGCGACTTATGACACAGCACCCTCGTCCCCTTTCGACTGCAGGTGCCGTGATTGACCGTCAGCATGTAGCTATGCAGCGCCAGTAGAACTTTCTGGCCCTTGTGAGCGGCCATCTAACGGTGCTTTTCGCAAAGCCTGGTGCCCTCCAAACTCAGCATGACCCGTTGAGCGGAACTTTGGCTCGCGACAAACCCCAAGTAATGAACGTTCACGGATGCATCAACCTTTTAAATGTAGTCATGCAGGCATGTACTTAGTCTTAACTTGATATGCTCTCAATGTGCAAGTCGATCTTTCCGGGTGCATCTCCCATACTGGCCTCTTGTAGAAAAAGAACACTGCGATCAGCACTGACGCCTGCACAGAAGCGACTGTTGCCATTAGCCTGATGATGTCTACAAGCCCTTTTAGCCGAAACACATGGCCACGTTCGAACAAACACATGGAAATTGCCATAGTCAGGTGGAAGTCGCATGTTTGGCAATGAGTTCTTGATAAGAACGCCAACCCCTCAAGAACCTCTACATCTACGAGGTCCGTGCCAGTAACATCTGTGACTTGCACACATACGAGCAGCTGTGCATCTCTACCTTTGCTGGATTGTTCCTTTTCATCCTGCGGCCCCCTCTCCCTTGAACAGTCTAAGGTGTTATCCTACCAGCGTCATGTGGCTTCCCAGCTTTGCATTTTCACACTGCCTGAAAACAGAACACAAAGCAGGAAAGTTCAATGCCACAATTTGGGTGAACTCACAAACTTCAGGGCGGAATCATTGGCTGTGTTGCTTGCCAGTTCGCATGCTGATTCGCCTGGCGAGACTGTTTAGAGTTTAGAAGTCACCATCTCACGTCTCGCGTGTCCACTCTCTCCCGTCACGAGCGCTATAGCTGCTATCACGGAATCACCCAACTGCCCAATACAAACTGCGAAAGGGTTTGAAACAGAGTTTCGGGATGGATAAAACAGGCCCTAACCCACCAACAAGAAGAGACCACCTTATCCCCCCGGTCCCAAGGGCAAAGCAGTTGCCCCCGGCCGGCACAAACACGAACCAAAAGGGGTGCCTCGTTTGTAACAAGAAGAAACCAAGCAGAAGCGCAGCACAGCGCAAAGCAGGCAAGCAAACCAGCAGCAAGCAGCACCAAGCGAGCAAAGCGAGCAAGAGCAGCGCACCCCAACCAAATACCCGACCCACCTCCAGGAGAAAGAACACCGCGCCAAGGACAGCGGCCGCGCGAACACGAGGCCGATGACGAAGCGCGACGTGCCCTTTTCCCGACGAAATGGCGAGTGAAGGTTGCCGAGTGAAAAGCTTGAGCCAAACGGCGCGTTGGCCGTGGCGTTGAAACATGTTGCGATAAAACTACATGCCCCCAAAAACACCCCCCTCGCCTGTACAAAGAGATGGAGTGAATTTGGTAAGGCGCATTGGCCATTTGAAGTTGAATAGCAACAAACAAGAAACAAAGACGATTAGACTACCAGGGTTCGCGACCCCATACCCGGGCTCGCTTTGGAGCCCGGATCCCGCCACCACCCCGAATTACGGGTATGGGGCGGATCACGCCGGTAGCCAAATCAACCAAGAGAAACGAAAGAAGGAAAGGAACAAAGATTCAACTCCAGAATGGCAGGCATGAAATAGAAGTACATTTGCAATGCAACCACAACGAACCGCAAGGTTCAAGTGGATTTAGTTCCTGAATTCATGATTTAGGCGCATTGGCCCACTGGTTGAAACATGGTGCTTCGACCACAGGACCTTGGTCTTTAAAGTAGCACCGTCTAGGCGCGCGATCACACAAAGACCTTCGGTAGGAGCACCACCAGCTGCAATCAGCGGTTCAGGCCCGAGTAGGACTTCACCGGCGGCGGTGCAGCGCATTCGTGATCCTCACCACAGCACCTTGATGGGTTCCATCTCCAGCAGCAGCAGCGGTGCTGGATGATGCTGACCACCAGCAGCCGTAGACGCCGGCGAGGGTAACCGCCTTGCTGTGACGACGCACACCTGACGGGACATCGCAGCTTGCGCGAATAGCGCACAGCCACGCGTGCAATTAAATTCTGGAGTGGCGAATAGCCAAATCATTGAAATATGGCAAGGAGCATAGTCCTTCCGGAAAAATCTCCGGAATAAAGGCATGCGCGCGTTGGCGCAGTCGTGCAAAAACGCATGGGCAGACTTCAGGTATCACCGATGTCGCCCACAGCCGTGCCGCCCCTTCCCCTTGCTGGCATTCCAGTCCCCAGGGGGAGGAGGCACAGTCTCGGCCAACTCGTCACCGTCACCCCAGGTAGGGGTATGCGGCGAGCTCGGATTCTCGAACTCGCGGGGATCACCCTGCATATGCGGCTGCCAACCCTGCGGCATTGCGCCAGGCCACATTTGTGGCATCATGCCAGCCATGGGCTGTTGCATGTATCCTCCCATTGGGAAAGCTGGATACATCGGACTCGGGAACGGGTAAGGGGCGGGCTGTGCACCCTTGAATCCCGACCCGCGAGCATCAGGCTGATACCCGCCAGTGGGAGTTCTCGATCTGGCGGATCCGCCACGACCGAACTGTCCTTGTTGGTAGCCGTATTGGCCACCCTTGCCTTTGTACTGATCACCCTTGTGACCCTTTCCCGGGAACTGGTCACCCTTGTGACCTCCGCCCTTGGGCCAGGGCTGCGCAGGGGCTTTGCCCTTTTGCTGATCCCCCTTTGACCTGGATTCAGGTCGCGGGGTAGCAGACCGTTGGTCTCCCCTAGGAGTGGCTGCCCGCCTGTGGTGTTTCCCAGCCGGCGGGTCAGCAAAAACAATGGCGCATTGGCCGTCGCGCCGTGCAGCGGGGACCATGTCAACCTTGTTGTCTTCGACATAAATGTATGCCTCAGCATACTCAATTGGGGCCGTGATGGATCCACCACTGGCCCGCAGAGATTCGATGCTCCAATCAAGAACAGTGGAGGCATCAAAACTTGGGTCCTCACTGTTGAAGTCCGCGAGGCGTCGCTCAGCCTGTACCAAAGACATTATGATGTCCGCTCGTGAGGCGCCTAGGCCATACAGCGGCCTCAATTCCGATGCGGTAGGCATCAAAAATATGCACAGAGAGGTAAAGGGCAAATGCTGAATTTAGACTGCCCTTTCTCGTCATATGACGACCCCATTGGGCCGCCTGCTGCGGGTGCTCGATCAAATATGTAAAAACAGACATATTGTCGGGGAATCGAGACGCCAGTATTGCTCTCCTCGATGAGCAGCTGTTTCGCTACCCACCGCTCGAGAGCCTCATCACTCGCACGCACACAGGCGTGGGTGTCCTTTGAGGTGACCTTTGCAACCTCCTGAAACGCAACTTGCACAACATCCGCATTGGGAGTGTGCACAAGGTGCGGCGCACAGCGCAAACCGGTGATCATACAGCTGACCACCTCGCGGATCGGGTTTACCGATGCCATGAGAGGAGCCCACGCGTCGGTCTCCCCTTCGTACCAGCTACTGGCACGGACTGCTTTGAGTCTCTCTAGACAGATTGGCTGCCCATTCTTAACCAGAGAACGGACGGTGCCTGGCGCCCATTCACGATAGAAAATCGGCAGATGGCAACCATTGCATAGAATGGTGCCATACATGTTCAAATGCGCGCACCGAGGGCACCAGTAGTCATGCATGGGAGCATTGTCCCATGAAAATGACACCCCTCTCGGCGGTCCCTGAACATTCAACTCACGAACCGCCCAGGGACGGATGTATATTACATCCCCTTCCTGGTGCAGATAGCATGCGCGCCAGAAGGGTGCATGTATCTCTTCCCGCACGGCAATCAAACCGCGTCGGGTTTTATAGATGCCGGCGGCTTCCTCGATGGCCATCCACTTTAGGTCAACGGCCACAACGACATGGCGCTTGTCCATGTATTTGACGCGATCGTCAACATAAAATTCGCCCTCATTATTGGGGCTGGGCAACTTGAGGAGAGGCACCTTTGCGCCCTCCATCCCAATCATGATCTCCCCCCTGCAGACCTGCTCAGGCCGCATGGGGAAAACTGTGATGGCGAATTTGCAGGCCTCCGAATGCACCTCGTTTTGTTTTGAGGGCGGACCGATACTCGGCCATCGTCAGCAGCACGTATCCCGTATAAGGGACTTCAGCTGCTCCCATCGGCCTAAGCAATGGCCCGATAGGCGTTCGGTCACGCAGTGCCCAACGTTGAAAACTTTGAACGGCACGTCCATCCCGATTAGGGTGGACCGCGCAAAAAGCACCTCATTCGGGCGCACAGTCGTGCCATCTGTCCTCCAGACTGTCCGTATTAGGAGCTCGACTGGAGGATACGTTGGGCTCTCCTTCGCGAGAGCGCCCGCCCAGGTCGCCACCTCGACACTCGTGCACTTATGGATCCCGTATAGGGCCTCAAAGAGCGTTGAGATTAGAGTCATCGACATCCAACCTCCCAGAATGTCTGGAACCGTCCCACACAAGAAGGGGGGCTGCTCACCGGCGTTCAACCGCGTTGGGTCAGTGTTGCCCGACAAAATTTCTAACAGCATTTGCGACTCTCTGGAGCTTCGTCCAGCCATCGCCGACACATCCTTAATTTCGGGGAAGAAATGGAAGATGTCGTTACCGGCAGGACAGGCGATTCTGCCTGCTATCCCACTCTGTGCATCAATCACAACCTCCTCACCCTCGTATGTGAGGTTGTAGGTGCTCGAAATCGGGCACACATCGGGCTTTGCCATCAGTGCCTCTTCCAACGGCGCACCTGTAGGGAGGACGCCCTGTACGTGCGACTTGGTACCTATGGGACCAGTACTCGCGGACATAAGCCGATAATTTTCGGCACGAAAGTGTGGAAAAAGGTTCTTCATCCTTTCAATTTCTTCTTCAGTGGTACGCCACGCCTTTGCCTCATAGTAAGGCGGCTCCTGCTTTGAGGGCACTAGGTCGCGGTCGCCCATTGATGAGAATTTGTCCACATATGGGCCCATCCCATCATCATCTACGTGACTCTCGTGATCTTCATCCGAGACGTACTCCTTGGGCGGCTCGCCCAGAGCGTCCAGATCGACCTTACCAAGGTCGACCAGCGCCGGAGAATCCAGGACTCTCTGGATCCTCATGAGCTCGTTCCTAAACTGCTCAAAGCCTCCGGCCTTGTTAATCACGGAGGTCGGCATTGCGCCCTCCCATGATTCTGGAAACATGCACACGTTCGTAGGGGAAAACTCGTCATCGGAAATATCCCGATCACGCTCCCGTACGTCGCTGATTAGTGTCACGTCCAGCGAGCCGCCTAGGGCCTCGGGACGCGACGCTTTCGCCGGATGCGGCTTTGCGCTCTTTGACGCTACAGCAGCCT